ACTCCTAAGATTCTGTGATTCTGTGAAAAAGCTTCATTAACAAAAACTGGACACTCCCACTTGCACCAAATGGAAGTGATAGAACCAAAAAAAATACTGTGAATATTTTGGGTTACAACAAACCCTGACATCTTAGAAAAACTGAGCAGTTTAAGAACCTTCTGACATAACAGGCACTATTTGTTCAGCTGGAACTGAAAAAGACTGCATGAACAACTGAGATATGATCTCAGCTCACATGTCCTGAACTTTTACAGGACGCAAGAGAATGTTCTACCTATAAATGCTAATGAAAAAGAATGAAATGTGAAATTCTAGTCTCACATTATTAAAAGTGCGCATTTAAATAATTTTTTAACTTGAAAAATAAAACTAAATTAAAATGTAGTGATTTAGTGTGTAGAATTCCGACCCCCCCATACACTCCAAACAGTGAAAGGTTAGAATACACCAAGAGAACAAGTTGTAGCTGTCCTTTGTTATGGGCAAAGTACAGTTAAAGAGAAGTGACAAAACAGCAGCAGGGAAGCACAGAACCATAGACTCATATATCCATAAATACAAAGACCATAACTTCCTCATTCCCAACAAGAACAGGATTTCTATTTTAACAAATACACCAGACTTGGAAGCTGGTAAGAAAAATCCAATAGAATGGAAACATTTACAAAAAATCAGTACACTAGATTCATCTAAACTGTCTGAATTTACTTTCAAGATTGGTCTTTCAGAAGACACATTATTAAGCCTTAGAATTTATAGACTTATTTTTCATATGACGACCCTGAAATTCAAGAAAATGCCCTGCTAATCTTTGGTTTGGTTTGTTCTTTATGATACTTTGTTTTGACTGTCCTTTTATGTCTCACTGGGATTAAACCCAGAAGAGCAGATGATCTTTCTTCAATACACCTTCAACATATCTACAAGAAAATAAAATTCTTACCAAACACCTCACTACCAATGTAACACTTGCAGCAGTTAAGATTTTTATATTGTTTATAATATCAAGGTCCTGTAAGTCAATTTGTGATAGTTGTTTAAGGTCAGAAACTTTTTCCTGAGTAAGAGATGGTCAGAATTTGTGACAAACACCAGGACAGGTTTTATCACTTAAACATTACAGAGTATAAAGTAGGACTCCGGTCTGCTGCAAGTAATCATATAAAGCTGTAAAAATACAAGAATCCTTTCTCTAACCACAACGCTGTGCCTCGTGTTATAAAAACAGAGCAGGCATGCAATTTCTTTTTTCCAATAAAGCTACAGGGCAATTTTCCAGAAGAAGAAGAATGATTTTGGAGTCTTATTACAAAGATTTCCAATTAAAAATCATCAATTAAAGGAAGATGGCCTCAAGCACGAAGCCTCTCAAACTGCTTGTCACAGAGAATTGTGTCAGCTTTAATGAAGACAATTAGTAACTGGAGTTTTTAGACTACTACTTCTGTGTACAAAAAGACTGTTGCAAAGGTTTTGAGGCACCTACCTTAAATTACAGCAGCAGTACAGTATTTTAGTGACATTCTGAAGTCAGACTTTATTAGGGTAATTAATTGTCTCCAGTTACTACTTCTAGTGGACAACGAATATTATTCTGTGACAAAATCCCCTGAAACTTCAAGTTACATTAATCAGAATGGCTAACAGAAATAAAAATCTAACCAAGTTGCTACAAACACACAGAAAATATGAGCTTCAGGATAAAAATCTCACAATTTGCCAGCCTTAAGGAACAGTTTTCTACACCAAGATTGAGGCCATCATCAACTTGTGTTGGTTGTGCGGGCACTTTAATATGGCCAAGGACTTTGACTTCATGTTGCACACATTCTTAGATTTGGTTCAAGCTGATGTTCTGTTAGCACAAGAAAGCATTTCATAGCAACTCAACAATCACAACCCAAAACATGTAGCAGCATTAGCGAATGTGAGTTTCTAAGGAAAAACTTAAAATGTAGAGAGCTCAGATTTAGAAATAAGATGGTGTAGTAGTAATAACTGCCTTCGAAACTTTTATTTCACTATTTGCCAAAAGTCAGGTTTTCTTAACAAGAGCAGCAATTTCTGTCTGAAGTATCACATATTTAGACAGTTCTGCTCCAGCCCATAAAAACTGGAAAGTACACCTCCATTTTTAACTACTGCCTTTAAAAATGTTTTTCATACTCGTTTTGTACTCACTTTCCTCATTCTGCAGTTACTAGTAAATTTAATTTAGCAAAGCCAGAGAAAATCAGGCCTGACAGAGAGAGTGGCATTAGGACCAGCATTTCTGAAGAGCTATTTCAAGACATACTCATACTACTATTGATGGATTTTTTTTTAATTTACTAAATTTTCATCTTTAGCTTATTTAAACATGAAACAGCAGTCACCTCCAGTCACATGGGTCTGCTATTACTCACAGCAGCACCTCTGCAAACACTGTAGGCATGGAAGCCAAAGGCAGCATGGAAGCAGGATTCTCTCTGTCCTCAACCCAAAAATGTGAGGCTCATTTGGATAAGATTGGAGAACATATTAACAAGATGTTAAAAAGGCTGCACTGCTACTATTCTGTTTCACAGCAATTTCTTTGAGAATGAACAGAAAACCCGTTTCTAGAAAAGACAAGCCAACATCCATCATAAATATTAAGTTCATTTCAACTATTTACCACTATAAAAAAAATTATCTAGGAAGACAGTAAAAACTATATAAAGCTAATTCCACTGGAATGGATCCATATCATAAAATTTTCTACTGCTTTTTAGAAAAAAACCTACTTTTTTTTAGAAAAGCAGTGTCTAAATATGCAGTCACTTAGACCTTGTCACCTCACAGTCAGAGCATATTTTATAAATTTGCTTACATTTCCCCCACTTAAGAAATTGTTAAAGCACAGGAAATTTTGCAGACTCCTGAAAGCCAATTTTGAGGAAAATCTCACTTACTGAAGCAAAGTAATAGCACACACATTTTTAAAGTGATAAAATCATTACCAGCAATGCAGAGAGCATTGAGTAATGGAGACAGCCATTTAAAAATTTTAATTGGTTTACTTACTCATATATAGGAAGTGTATCTAGGTATTACATTACACTTCTAACACAAAAAAATATTACTTATTACAGTACACAAAAAAGGATATCATTCCAAAACCAGAAGAACCACGTCACATACATCCAGAATTTCGTTGCCAAGTATATCCCAAGAGGCAGTGCACTGTGCATGGAGTGATCAAAGAATGACCTGTAAAGCAGGAGCAATTATCACATGATAAGGTTCAACTTATAAAATGTAAATCCTGAACTACTACTACTGAAAAGCACTTCCCATTAAAACATGTACTATAAGAGATACTCCAAAATACATCACAAAAACATTTTCCTCCCTTTTATCTTCAAAGTTCATGAGAAATTCCCCTTTTCAACCTGTCCAGATGAAGGGTCGTGACTCAAAATTATTTAATTAAAATTTATACATTCACTTTTGAAGTGAACATCAAGAAACGTATGAGAAAGCAGCACGGATACTGGTTGCAAACTACATTTACTTAACAGATTTCAGTGCAAAAGATACTTTGGACACACATAGAATGAAAATTACAGATTAAAACTTCAAGTAAGAAAAAGGCTTGAGACCTTGGTGTTATCAGCCTACATACTTGAAATATTTCAGATTCTTGAATCTTTTGCTTCTGTTACAGTTGCCAATAGAAAGTTGGAAAAAAACCTCAGATTAATTCATTTCCCATATGACTACATTTGCCAAGTTCTAAGACAGAATGCTGCTACTTTAATTAAAAATAAAAAAATCAGAATGATTATCACCTTGCTTATACTTTCGCATTTTAAAGAATATTCTGAGTAAAGCTGAATTTAGTTGTGACAAACTAGGTCAGTGACAAGGTAACTCCATATGTTTAGCAATTTTTGCTTGAATACCAAAAGTCACACTCTAAACTGCTAAACTCCGTGAAATAAAACTTCTTCCATCGTCTGCCTAAGCATCTTTACATTGTTGCATTTTACTTTTTGTCCTCCTAGTGGTGCCTTCAAGGCTGACATACCAACACATGCACTGAGTAATTTTCATTTCATTCCTTTAGTCCCTTGCAGTAACTCTCTTTTCTGATGGAGGTTTCTCAGGTCTTTTGAGAAAACCATATAAGGAAGATGAGCTAAGATTTGCTAAGTAATAAGCAAATACACATTTCGATGCACAACAATTACTCAGCAGTAATCTCTTCCAGTGATTTCTGTGCTTTCTCTTTTGTGAAAGGAGTAGGAAGGAAAACACAGCTAAAGCAGATTAGCTAAAATTCAACAGGGAAAGGAAATGCTACTAGAATAGCAAGACTTTCACTGAAACCTGGGCTTTGTGAAAAACACTTCAAGAAGTATCAATATGAAACATTAAGCAAAGGATAAGAGAAAAGAAGACTGGTAACCCTGAATATGTGTCAGGTAGGTCAGAAATATAGAAATTGACAAAATCTAGATCTTGGGAAACTTAAAAAAATCTTGTCCTTGCCTGCAAGAAGCGTGGCTGAGGATTCACATTATGGAATAAACTACCTGTGGGAGGAGGTCAGCAGACTGCACAGCCTCAGAGATTACAAAAAGACTAAACACATCATCTCCAAGATCATAGAATGTATTGGGTTGGAAGGGACCTTTAAAGATCATCTGGTCCAACCCCCCTGCAGTGAGCAGGGACACTGTTACCAGATCAGGTTGCTCAGAGCCCCATCAGGCCTGACCTTGAATGTCTCCAGGGATAGGGCCTCCACCACCTCTCTGGGCAACCTGTTCCAATGATGTATCATCCTCATATTGAAGAACTTTTAGAACCTAAATCTACCCTTTTCTACTTTAAAACCATTACCCCTGGGCCTATCACCACATGCCCTAGTGAACAGCCCTTCCCCAGATTTCTTATAGGCACCTTTCAGGTATTGGACCCCGGAGAGCCAACAGCCTGCTGCCCCCTCACCTGCCTCCGGGTGTACCAAGTTCACCAAGTTTTATGAACTTGGTTTAAGAAACAGATATATATTTTTTTTCTCTTTAAACATAAGGGAAGGAGAAGCAAGTGGTTCTAATAAAAATGACACTCAATGCCAGAAAAGCAGAAAGGTCAAAAGTATGAAGATATAATAAGTTGTACTATGCGTGCCACACATGACAATGAAAAGCAAAGCATAGCTGAAGTAGTCTACAGATCTTGAAAATCTGTGGGAGTGTGCCTGTGTGTGTGCAAACACACATGCATTCACAGATCATTAAAGTAATCACAATCACAACTAAATTCTTTATGATCAGGTAACAACAGAAAATCATTAGAAAGCAGCCTTTTTCTTTAGTCACCACTTTCCACAACAAAAGAAGCTACAAAACCTGACTGTGACTTCACCTCTCTCTCTCTGAATCTCTTTGGATACACCTTTGGTATTTAAGTTCTAAAAAAAAAAAAAGGGCTTTAATAGCAAAATTGCTCATACATTTTTTTCTATTCCTTTCTAGTAACTTTTCCCTTGACTTGAAAATTCATGGTGATAACTCCTTGTAGACAGACATTCAGCACCCTCCTCTGGAGAACGACTGAATTTCTGTTCTGCTGTCAGCATCTATTAGCTCAGTGGTATTAACACCTAAGGTAATTCCATGGCTATTTGCAAGACAACAGAGCATTACAAGGGCTCAAGCTGCACAAGATCTTTCCCAGAAACAGTAACAACGAAAAATTCCAACACAAAATAAATGTTGCGTGCCAAGAAAAACAAAAAGTACAAATTTAAGATTACTTATCCAATAAAGAAGGCAGTAAAACACTTCTTGTGTGCACACTAGGCAGACAGTGTCCCAGTAAAACACTTACTTTGAAAGAAACTGCACCATAGCCCAAACGCCACCATACATCAGCCCTTTAATGAGCCAAGAATCAATGTCTAGGTCTGCTATAAAGCCAACCAGCCAAATTACTAGGAAAGGAGTTCCCAGCATCACCTTCTGACGGAATTCCTATATAGAAACAAATATCAGTAAGTAATTCTATTTTTAGGAACAGGCTGTATAATCACATTCTACAATAAATAGGACAGTCACAGAAAATTAAATCAATTTTCAGGAAGCTTAACATAGGAGGAGGAATCTTTTGTATGGGCAAGATAAAAATATTTTTCCTAAATTTTTATAGCAAATCAATAATTTTATTTATCTTAGAAGAACTGTCTTTTAGAGACTTTACTGTTAACCCAGAACAAAGGCAACAGTTCCTCTTTTTAGAAGATCTGTCAAACTACTACACAGCACAGTGTACTTTAGTGATTCAGTACTTGGTGAATTTAAAGACTGAAGTTACATAAGCAATAGATAAAGTCATACTGAAGCATCCATGAATAATGACAGGACCTTTTTTTGTCTTCTACTATGTGGGTACAATTCCTGATTAAGTCACTGAGCTCTTTCCAGATAGTCAAAGCACAGTCACAATGCACATGCACATAATGCACAAATCACTTTAAAGTCAATAATCATTGCATTATTATATTACCACGGGGTTAAAGCCAGGCTACAGCTACAGGCTGTAGCCAGTGCTTTAATCCTCAAGATGCAATGTATCATTAAATCAAGAAGTTATAACAAATCAGTGATAGCAATGCTTAATATCCAGCACAACACTCTGCATGGTAAGAAAACATTAACACTATATTTAAGTTCTGAAACTATAGGCAGAGGTAGACAGCTCTTCATGCTAGAGTAACACAAGACCCTTTACACCCTCAGTTCTTATCTCTTCCTAACTGCAGTATTAAATAATAACCTGAGGAGAAAAAGGCCTCCACATTAGAGATTCATATATTACATTACATTATACTGCCAAGATTGAGCACTTCTTTCATTCAACACAAACCACTACATAGTTAGAGAGGATATCAGCGTTCAGGATATCCAAAATGCTTCTTTCCTTAGATACTTGCAAGTCAGCTTTGTGAAAGTCTTGGCTATCCTAAACAATACCAGACCATTTGGTACTTTCCTAATGTTTAGTTAGCACAAAAACTAAAGGTAACTGTGTGGAGGCTTAGGGTTTTCTTTCCTCCTGCCTTGAATAAAGCTTCTTTTCTTTTGCTATTACTTTTGTTGCAACAAAAACATGTTTCCTAAAACTGAAATGTGCAGAAACCACAGTACTGAACTGCTTACCTTAAACACACATGCTTCCAAACCAACAGCAGCAGTAATACTGATTTACAGAAGTGTTATACTACTTGCTTACCTTATCAGCTTTTAGTTTTCTCAGAAAGGATGGGCTGTCATAACCCTTTGCCTGTCTTGCTTCCTGTAGGTGATTGATCATCCAAACATTTTTCCTCTGTTTTGCTAGATCAAGTGGTGATTCTCCCTGCCAGGAGTAGAAAAGTGGGAGACATCCCATTTAAAAATAAAATGCCTTCAGAGCACTTTTGTAACAGAAGATTGGCAGATAAAAATAATACATTTTAAATCAGTTTAAACTACATTCTGGCATACTATTTGCTCTGCAGCTCACTTGACACCAAACATCATTCATTCCTTTTGGTCTTTTTCATTCGTAACTATACATGTGTGGACAAGTAGAATATAAAATGTGTGATCCTACAATATGGATGGCCTGACATAGCAATAATTGTTGCCTTTGGCATAACACGTTTCAGTGTTCTAAACACAGTCTACTGGTCTGTAAATGAAAGACTGTGCTTCCCTCTCAACTATTGACAGGCAGCAGAAATCAAGCAAAGAATAAGAACTTGTGAACCACTGGATCATGGAAAGTCTCCCAGTCTAAAGCATCACTTCTCAGTTAATGCTCTGCCTTTTTGGCAGAGTGAAGTTAATATCATGGAATGTTTCTGTAAGAAATTTTTTCCACAAACTTAATGTTTTTATGTTCATCTCAGTTACTGAAGTCCTAGGAAGAAAACAGGAAAGAATAAACTCATTGCTTATGTCCAACTTATTCCAAACTGAGCTTTTATGCTTAGCTTATGCTTCACGTACTTTGGGTGCTAAGCTAGCAATGGTCC